GCCGCACGCGGAGTGCAGTCGACTCGCGATTTGAGTGTCCAGATGCCGCTGCTGTTTCTCGCCATCAGCTTTGCGTAGAGAGCCGAGCGCCTGTTGCGCGTTGAGCTGTCGCCTGAAGCGAGCGCACCCGAGCTGCGAAGGACTGAACGGCCACGACGCTCTCTGCGAGAATACCCGACCGTGGACTGGGAGAACCACTCAGATTGGCAGGCGTCGCGCCGGTCGACTGCGAGCGAGGCAGGGGCAGGGAGGGACTGGATCAGGGAAGCGCCGCTTTAGTGTGATATGTGGCATGAATGGAATGGTTCCCGCCATCCCTATCAAGCGCGGGCTGGGTCCACTGTGCTTCCCGCGTCCACAGTGGCAATTTTCTCTGCCCACGACGCGCGTCGACTACGATGTCGGCGCGGCCCGCTTCCCACTGCTGATGCACATTTGTCCCGCGCCCATTCCAAGGCTTCCCTGGTTGGACAATCGCTGTGTTTAGTCAGCTCTAACAGCCATGCGTGTCTGCGACGCGCAGCTGAAGCCGGCGCTAGCAGGGCGCGTCGGCCGTTTCCTCTGCGGGGATTGCGATGACTGGCGCCTGCGCCTGCCGTCTTATCCTCAGGCAGTGCGGCGCGCACGCTACGGCGATTGGCGCTCCGCGAAGCGCGCGCCCTTCGAAATCGCGGACCACAGGGGGGCCCAGCAGTCAGTGGAGGGCGCCGACGCAGAGGCACATTCGCAAGCGCCGACAGCGCATGCGGCGGCGCAAACACAATTCATGGCGCCCAACACCTCCAGTGCCAGGGCGCTTGCCTGTCGATGATACGTGGATGCGCATCCAGTCAGTTCTGGGATGAGGTGCCTCCAGCGTCGTTTACGCTGCTGCGCAGCCGGGCGATGGAGGACGTCGAGTTCATGGGGAGGGCCAGACCACATCGCTTGCGCGCGCCCCGGCCGACATCCTTACGCCGCCGATCACGAGCGCCGGATTTTGCAGTTGCTGGATCACCACGCCATCATCCGCGCGCTCTTCAGATGCATAGCGCCCGACCTACCCTAATCGGACTGCCATTCTACCAGGACGGCGACTTGGAGTCTTTCCTCCGCGGCTCCCGCAACTGCGGGCGCGACCAGGCCGAATCAGGGCAAGTCGACGCAGCGCGCATCATAGCCCAAGCTGCCCTCGCATTCGACTACGTCCATGAACACAGCACCGCCCACAGGGACGTCAAAAAGGCGAACCTTCTCGTGAAGTCCTGGGACGGCAGTCGTCAACGTCGTGCCGTCCGATCCGTCAACATCGTGCTCTCCGTCCTCGGCAACGCGTGCTTCGCACTCACGCCCACGTCGTGCACGGCGCTGATCAGGGCGCCGATGTACATGGCGCCAGAAATCTCGCGCGCGGCCTGCGGCTTGGCGGGCGCGGCAGTCCTGTGGACGTGTGCGCCGCTAGCGCGTGCTTACGCGTCCTGGCTGCTCGCGCACTGCCGTCGGCCGCGCTCCTCTCGCGTCGTGGACCGCCTTCGCGCGGCAGACAGTCTCCAGTTCAATGCGGAGACTCCCGACGCAACCCTTCAGGGGGCAATCGGGAGTTCCACGTTGCGGGACGGTGCGTCTCGCGTGACGGCGTTTTGTTTGTGGAGCGCATTGTTGGACTTCGTGTCCCCATCGCGCCAGCCTTGGCCGCCCTTTCGCAGTCATTGTTCTTACCTTGCCTCTGGCGGTCAGCAGGGCCCCCCCGCTGCCTCTGCGCGCACGTGGCGCGCGCGCAGTCGCGCGCTCAATTGCGGCAGCCGTCCCCGCGCGGTGGCCGCTGATTGGCCCCTGCATAACAAAGGGGCCACCGACGCGCGCCCCAATCATGCGCTAGCATGAATGCCGCGAAGGAAGGGGCGCAGCAAGGGGGCCCCATTTCGATTGGAGATCTGTTGTGGTGGCGGGTTCTTCGAGGACTCATGATGCCATCTTGGCGCCGTCGTGGGCCTCTCTGCGCTCTTGAGGCGTCTTGGCGCCTTCTTGGGCCCCTCGTGGGGCTCTCGTGGGCCGTCTTCGGGTCGTCGCGAGGCCTCGAAAGCCCATCGGAAGCGAAACGGCGAGAAAGCAGACAACACTGATTCCCTTAGGGTTGCACAGGACTGCGGCCTCTTGACAGACCGGGCGAACCCGGAGAGCACATGGAGCACTTGGACTCTTCTTGGGGCCGTCTTCGCGCCTCTTGGATGTGCGCCGGAGGTTGGATTCGACCATCTTGACGTCTCTTGAACCATATTGGAGACCATCTTGGCTCATGCAGGACCCTCTTGGAGCCACCTTGGACGAAAACGGACGCTCTGACGAGCCCCCCCGCCCAGGCCCAGGGAAGGGGTGGACGTCGACCTCCCGAGCAAGTGGGATAATAGTATTGGCCAAAAGACACGTCCTGAACCACCTGCGCCCGACAGAGCTTGTGGGATTTGTTTGGCAACCCTTCCGATCCAGAGCGGTTCTTTCGATGAGATCTTGCGGCTTCCGCGATCAGACCGCTCGGTATATTAGTTTAGCCTGCCAGCTCTCGCGCTGATGATCTCTACTGCGTTCGCATTCTCTGAAGTCTCGGCAGCCCTTGCTGAAACGCCGCACGCAAGCACGCTGGGCAGTCACAAACGTTGGGGAGAAGGCGCTGGCGTCGTCAGCAAACGTCGGTTGCCTCCCATGTCGCCGTGGTCGTTATCGTCGCCGTCGTCGTCGTCGTCATCGTACGTGGTCCTCATCGTCATCAGCCTCGTCATCCTCTTGCTGCATATTCTCTTTCGTCTGATGCATTCTTCTGCCTGGCGCTCGTCTTCAACTCTCTTACCCCGCGTCATTATCTGACCATCCATCTCATGATCGTCCTGCTCTGTTCCGCTGTGCTCGACGTTTCTCATGCTGTCCTCAACATTCGCCCAGCGAGCTCCGCAACCGAAAAAGCGCGGCTTCACGTTCTTGTCTGGAAAGGTTTGTTGTTTATTGGCGCCCTGCCCTGTTTGGACGCATCTTGGGGGCCTTTTGGAACGTCTGGGTTGCCTCTTGGCGCCATCTAGAGTCTATTCTGGGCGTCTTGGACCGATCTTTCGGCGACTCGTTGCCCTCTTGGACCGTCTGGGAGGCCTTTCGGACCTTCCCGTCCCGCTCTGTGACCCGATTCTCCCCCGTGGCGCGTTCGGGCAGGGCCCGGGGGGGGGGGGCGGGTTCGAATTCCCGGCTCGGCGTCCCCACAGGGGGGTTTTGGGGGGTGGGATCTCACGCGCCTAAAGACCCGCGAGGGGTCGGCGGATATTGTTTTGAGCGGGCCGCTGCAGCGCGTTGCTGCCGCACTCGGCGAGGAGCGCGCTCACTCCAGAGACAGAACAGCCGTGCCTGCGTTAGTGATTCGGCGAGGGTGAGACAAACTACTCCTCGCTCTCCTCGTGGATGTAGTCGGGCCGACGTATGAGATCGAGGTTGGCTCGGGGAGAGTGCCCTGGGATTCTTCGTGTCTTTTTGGTGTTTTTGCAGATTTTTTGTTGGGGGGGGGCACCCTTGGATGTTCTGTGTGTTTCGGCTGACAGCTGGTCTCCTGATTTCGAAGGGTGTTCTTCCTGCTGAGGACCGACTGTAGCCAGGACCCTGGGTAAGGGGAGCTGTTCCGTGAGTGGGCCCGAACCCCCGAAAAGTGGCCCAGAATCACGAAACGAAGTCTGCTGTAGTTGGTGTTTCTTCGGGTGGCGGTAGTCGCGGTCAGTGTGATTGGGCGGGGGGGGGCGTCCCCCAGCACGGTAAGTTCGCGTCGTGTCGACAGGAGGTGATCCCGCTGCCTGCGTTCAACGTTGAACGCCGCCAGCGACCCACCATGGGTCGATGTTGAGCGATTTGATTTTTCGGAAACGACTGATCGTTCAATGGTTAATTATCCCCCGTGGTGTCAGGAATCATCGCCAGGGTCGACGCGACACGATACCGCCGTGCACGTCTCAGTAATCGGGCGGGTGGCAATTAGGGCTGACCTAAATGAGGGGTGAAAAAGAAAGTATCCTAAAGGGCCATTTTAGGGCCCCTTTGGAAGCCAGCAGGGGCCTCAAAGGCATTTTTGTTTCTGCACTTCCCATGTCGGTCACCCCTCATTGCCACCCGCCCGAACATCATTGAAGCAGGTCCCACCCAACCCAGTCTCGTCAATGCCCGATGTTCCTCAGAGCTGTGGGCACTTGATCATTGTCACAGGCGCGCCGGCATCTGACGCCCCTCTTCCACATTCTCTCCTACAAGCGTGCGACCCGATGGGGGATCGGGGGAGGCGCGCGTGTACACGTGGGCTGCTTGCGCCCGCGAAAGGTGGGGGTCACAGGAGAAAAAAGGTACCCATCCGCTAATTTTGCATCGTTTTCGGTTTTTTGATGGTTTCGCTGGGCTTTTCGAGTCAGAGAAAAAGCACGACGGAAGGTTTTAAACTATTTTCAAAACCTCTGGGGGCCCTCATCGGGCCTCGGGACCGTCAAACAGCGATTCATAATGAAAAGTCGGTCCTGGGGAAAGGGTCGACACCTCTGAGAGTCGACGTAATGACACAATCATGAAATCGGGGGTTTGGGTCAACAAGCGCGCAGCCTGCGTCCGCCATCGCTGCACAGTCTGCGTCGCATAGAAGGGTCTGTGTGGGCCAGCACACGCTGGCGCTCACGCTATGAGGACCATCGGCCAGAGCGGGGCCAGACGGAGAATTCCCTCGCCGTCCGCCGCGGCCGTCCTCTGCTTCGGGGAGGGCGGAGGACGAGGAGATGGAGGCCGACGACGAGGTGCAAGAGAAGGAGGAGGAGGAGGAGGAGGAGGAGGAGGAGGAGGAGGGGATTTGTGGAGGAGGAGGGGGAGATTTGAGGAGGAGGAGGGGGAGATTTGAGGAGGAGGTCGGCCGCGGCCGCCGCTGCCACCCGGGGCCACAGCCGCGGGCGGCACGCGGCCGGCGGCCAGCGGCCGTTCCGAGGGGCCCGCCGCGGAGGGGCCCGGCGCGCGCCCAGGGCGACGCGAGCAGCGGCTCCGCGGGGGAGCCCGCGGAGGAGCAGCCCGCGGCGGCGCCCGCGGCGGCCCTGGGCGAGGCCCTCCGGCGCCCTGGCGGACGGGGGGGCCTCCCCGCCGCCCGCCCGCCCCCCCCCTCCTCCCTCCTCCTCCTCCCCTCCTCCCCTCCTCCTCCCTCCTCCTCCCTCCTCTCCCTCCTCCTGCCTCCTCCTCCCTCCCCTTCCCTCCTCCTCCCACCTCCTCCTCCTCCTCCCCTCGGCCGCTGCGACCGCGACAGCATGCCGCCGCCCGCCGCCCGCCTCGGCGGCCCCCGGCCGTCGGCCGCCGGCGACCGCCGCGACCGCCGCGACCGGCGGCTGCCGCGACCGCCGCGACCGCCGAGCGCGGGCCGCCGCCCGCCGGCCGCCGAGCCGTCGGCGTCGGCCGCCGACGGTCGGCCGCCGACGCAGCGGCCGCCGACGCAGCGGCGGCCGTCGCCGGCGCGGCCGCCGCTGGACACGGCCGTCGCCTCGCCAATGTTCGCTGCTGTCAGGAGAGAAAGGAAGCACACAGAGGCACAAATGCTCGTCGGCTCCCCAGCAGCCGGCACGAGCGAAGAAAGGGCACGGGAAGAGCGGGCACAATGCTCAAGAGCAGGTCCTGGTCATTTTGAATGGGACTCGCTGTCCGCGGCGCCGCGGCCTGTGTCCATTCGAGACAGAAGGCCGCCCGCCCAACAGCGGCCGCTGTTGGTTTCGGACCACATTTGTTGTTGGGCATTGTGCCCATTCTTTCCGTACCCACTTCGGGCGTCCAAACGCAGGTGTTCGAAACTATCGGAAGTGGGCGGGGGCAAGGCAAGACGAGAGCCCAGAAGATGTGGGACGGTAATTCTGGGGGGTCCTCCTGGGAGCTGCGTCTCTTTCTCTGTGCGCTCCTGGGCCCCATTCGTTCTGGGCGCCGTGCCCGGGCCCCGCCTGAAGAACGGTTCAGGATGGAGGGCCAACCCTGCGGAGGGGATCGACGGGCGCAGAGGTCGGGGAAATTCGGACAGACTTAAGAAGCGGTCGTCGGAGATCGGGGCCCAGGCGTGTGGTTTATCTTCAGGAGGGGAAAATACACACAGACACAATGAATCGTCGATTCCCCCGAAAATAGGAAAATATGGGAAGTGGCGGGGGAGACAAAAACAACCAAAAGATATAGGAACACATGGGGAATGCTTTTATTTGTGTGTGTGTATTTATTTGTGTGTCCCAGGACCCCTTCAGATCTTGGCGAGAATGGTCTCCCACAGACCCCCAGAGAGCAGGTGGACCCACCTACTGGCCAGTGGGTCTGGTCCTGGTTGGCCTGGCGATGAGAAGCACAACTTTCTGAGAGGAGCATTCGCTAACAATGATCTCAACATGCAACGCATGTGCTTCAGGAGGGGAAAAAAACACACAGACACAATTAATCGTCGATCCCCAGGAAAATATGCGAAAATATGGGAATTGGGGGGGACGACAAAAACCCAGAAAATATGAGAAAATATGGGGAATAGTTTTATTTGTGTGTATTTATTTGTGTGTTCTGGGGCCCCTTTAGTGCTCCTGAGGAGACGAGAGGACGGAGGGAGACGAGGCGCGGCAGTCCGAGACCGAACTCTGATTCCACGTGAAGAATTGCCAACATGGCGATGCCTGGAGCCAGGAGGCGCGCGTTCGACCTCGACAGCACACGGCAGAGCGATGTGGAATGAATATGTTCACCGGACATTGTCAGGAGTCGTTGTTGTTTCCCTCGTCCTCTCATCAGCCTTTTTCCGTTTTGCTCATCTCAACCTCTCCCCCCCTTCCTGCCCCGCCTCCTGTCTCCTCATCCTTCTCCTCTTCTTGGTCCTCGTCGCTCCACCTGTTTACCCTGCTCCTCGCACTCCCATGCCCCCATCCCTCTCTTCTCCCCTGCTCATCTCCATTCTCCTCAAACCCCGCCCTCTTATTGGAGATCCTATGGGCCCCATTGATCTGCAAGTAACGCGTTCGGAACATTCGTATGACCCTATCCTCTCGTACCCCATTTCCTCCTCCCCGCTCCTCGTCTTTCTGTTCCTCGGCTGTTACACAGACCAAATATGAATGCCCTCCTCTCTACCCTGACTCTGTGTGTGCTGAGACGCGCCCTCTCCCGCATCTTGTACTGCTGCACAGGATTTCAAGCATTGGTGTTGCATATGTGTTCTCAAGCGGAACGTCATCGGTCCTTCAGAAATGGTGCTCGCTGCAGCGCTGGCCGCGGTTCAGTACCGGTGCCGTGCTTCCGTGGTTCCGATGTTCGATCTCTTTATTCCGCAGGCCACATTTTTGGACCCATCCGTTCCTCGCCCCCTTGCTTTCCACCCTCCGCCTGCCCTTGGTCCGCAGCTCCCCCCCTACTGCTTCACTATGCTGCTCATTTGCCACCTCCTCCTTGTCGCCCAGTGTACAGAAAAAGAGCCCCCCCCCCCTCTGACCGGTGGATCACACCACGTGGTCACTCAGGGTACCGTGGTCGTCCAGGGTACCATGGTCGTCCAGGACACCAGCCGGCGGGCAGAACACGATTCAGTGCAACGGGACGGGATGGGTGGAAGGGGCGTGACGTCAGGGACTGCGCGAGCGCGCCGGGCTTGTGCTCCTTCGCTTCGTCGTCGACATCTTCATATCTCGACGACGACGACGAAGACCGACAGCGACCGACGACGACGACCATTCGACGTCGGTGGCGACCACGACGCCGACGGCCGACGATTCAGGCGTCTCTGAAACTTCCTGTTTGAGCTGCAACTGCTTGGTTACGTCTTTGGTTCCGTTGTATGGCATCCGCTGTCGGTGAAAAGTAACCGCTGTTTTTCCGTTTTTTTTTTCCCCAGTGCGACCCGCGACCCTTAAGTCTCCGCCACATGGGGTCAGATTGGATGGTGTCAGTGTCTCGCGCCGCATCGCCGATGCATCGAGGATGCGACCCGATCTGGAGCCCGACTCTCGCCACGCCAGTCTCGCCAGTGCATCGCCGATGCATCGCCGATGCCTCGCCCAGGCCTTGGCGATGGTGGTGCGATCCTCCGACCCCGGTCGGCTCGGACCCCAGCGGGGAGGCCTTTGACCTAAGTCGGGCCTGTCCACTACAGGAGAAATAGACAAGAAGAGTAAACAACAAATGTCAGGGGACGATGCTTTGCCTATTGTTGCACATGTTTGAGCATCATTGTTGGAGTATGTTTTACGTTCCGTCCAAGGTCCGCCTGTAGCAGGGCACGCCCGACCTAATCTCTGACCGACGCCGCCAGGCCAGGCAGCCCCCGCGGCCAGAGGGCGAGCTCGCGCGGGCGGAGGCCGGGAGGCCCCCGAAGCCGTGCGCGCGGGCAGAGGCCGCCCCGCGCTGCGCGGGGGTGGGGGGGGTCCGCGGCCGCGGCTTCCTCCTTCTCCCCATCCTCACTTTCCTCCTCCTCCTCCTCCCCCTTCTCCTCCTCCTCCTCCTCCTTCTCCTCCGCTTCTTCCTCCACCTCGTCAGCATCAGCACCAGCATCCCCACCATCATCATCATGTCGACTCAAGCCCTCTTGGCTCAAGGGCTCAAGGGCTCAAGGCTCAAGGGCTCAAGGGCCCCAAGGGGGGGGGGGACGATGGCGTGCAACCCGAGGTGTCTTCCGTTCCTGCCCGCGCGAGCCGAGTCTCCCCCTACTCGGGGGCGCGCAGGGTGGTCCTCGCGCGCCGGGGCGCACGGGGGCTATGCGCTGGCCGCGCTCGCCGGAGCGGGCGTTGTCGGCGGCGGGATATCCCTGGGCTACAGTCAAAAACCCTAATAAGGACGCGCGACTATGCTCAGGGTACCCTTGCGTCCTTGCTCTTCCTTGCTCTTGCGTTCTTGAGGTTTTCGTCGTCCGCCGCCCCAGAACTCCCAACTTCGGCTTCCAAGGGTCTTGCGTCCTTACCGCGTGTCCTTACTAGGGATTTTGACTGTATGATGCTCCAGCCTGCTTCAGCCTTGATCACCAGGAAGAATTGTCGAGCGCCCCCAAAAAGTGCCGAAGCTCAAGGGTTTTCACGTGTCGGGCCCTGGGAGACGCTCGCCCGACACTGTCTCGACACTCTTGTGTCACTTTTCTGGGTGCTCGAAATGATTTCTGGGGTGTGGTCCTTCAGTAGGATGGGAGCAACATAACCCTGGGATCGCCTTGTGGATCCTCCAGGCCGCCCATGGCCCGCGACTCTGCTGAGCGGCAGCGGAGGCGGACGCTGCGGGTGCGGCTGCGGCCTCTGCCGCAGCCGAGGCGGCGACCTCCTGGATGGAGGACACCTTAGGCGGAAGAAAACCTAAGTTTTCGGCCAGAGTCTCGATTATTCCTAACGTTTCAATGTAAATCTTAAGATTTTAATGGGTGTTCTGGTTTTTTATTCAAATTCTGACACTACGAATTTCTGAACCCATGATGTCTTAAGCATTTCGCAGGGTGGAGTGCGGGGAGGCCTTGCGCCTCGCCCGCTGGAGGGCCGTCGTGTGCGTCGCAACACGCCGCAGCCCTCCTGCCCGCCCGCCCCCGCACCGCACGGGCCGCGCCCGGGCCTCGGCCCTGGCGCCCCGTGGCGCGCCGGGTGCCCGCGCGCGGCGGATGCGCTGCGAGGGTGCGCCGGGCTCGCCGCGGGCGCCGCCTGCGCCGGGGCCTCGCCACGGAATGGTATACGCATACGACCGGGCCGGACCCGAACAATCTCGACGGAAGTTTTGTTTTTTTTTTGTGCGTATTAAAATGATTTTCTCGAAATTTGACAAGTCGTAAAGAGTTCTAATAGTTTTTCTCATCATATTCGATGGTATTCCCGTTTGCCATCTTGATCTCAGGTCGATCGGGTGGATATTACTATCAAAAAGCATGTGGGCGGGATCGGCTCGAAAGGGGGGGATTGGGAAAGGGGGGGGTACGAAATTTGCTGCATGCAGCTGGCTTCGGCCCCGCCGCCGGGCCCATTCCTCGATGCATGGGCGCCTCTACAGCTGGGAGAATCAGCTACGTGAGCTGATCCTCAAGCCCCCCCTTTGCTATCCCCTGCGCCGGGGCCTCGCCACAAGATGGAATACGTCGCCGTGACGAAAGTTTCTTTCAATTCGCCTTTTGGAGTGACGCGCTCGTGCGGAGTACTTCGGAGCAGTTTTATTGAAACTCCTCCGCGCGCAGTCGCATCCCGCTCGATAATCTATATGGTTTGGCGCGGAGTGGTTTCCGATCCCGTTTGGGGGTAACAGAGTTATTAACGTCTCCTGGATCGGAAACTACTCCGCCGAATGATCCCAGCATCATGTCATGTTAGGAATTTTGAGAGGGATGGGAGAGATCTTCATCATAGCAGTTTGAAGAAACTTTTGTCACGGCTGTGTACGCATACAGCATTTTGGCATCGCTCGGACGTGTGCATGTTTCCTTCGGCGAGGACCGTCGAGGAGCATCCTTGCTCATTTGGCGGAAAAAAAAGTCATGCACGAAACCGAACAAAAAGCACACGGAATGGACGTCCGAGCGATGGCCAGACCTCCGATGGATTGTTCCTGGGTCTCAGGGGAGGGTAGCGGTGCTTACGTCACCACTGAGGGCCAGCGATTTTACACGCCGCCCGCCCGCCGCCGTTGGCCAGCACGGCGTGTGGTGTGTGCACCCGCAGCAGGTTTGCGCAAATATTCTCCCTACACCCCGCCACGCTTGTCAAACACAATCCGAAGTGCTCGCGGGGGTCTCAGTCACGATCCAGATTTTGCCGCCCGTACACTTTGTGTGGTTTTTGACGGGGATGGTGGGAGGGGGTCTTCACAGCTCCTGGTCGTCGGCCAGACGAGGTGGGGAGGGGGTGCCTTCTATACCGAGCAGTAACAACCTCTTCCCGAAGGGGTAGAAGTAGGTGGAACATCAAACTCTGAACCAGGTACCCTCAGAGGGCTGGTTGGAACTCGCGATCCGTGCGTCGCAAGAGGCGACGCCATCGCGACGTGAGCCTGCCGTGCTCCCGTCCGGCTCCTGCGGGCGGCAGGCGCGGGCGCGATGGTCATCTGCCGGCCTTGCGGCTCCTCAGGACGGAGGATGGCAGCAATTCGCTGCCGTCGCCCGTCGAGGGAGGAGGAGGAGGAGGAGGAGGAGGAGGAGGAGGAGGAAGAGCAGGAGGAGGAGGAGGGGGAGGAGGAGGAGGAGGAGGAGGAGAGGAGAGGAGGAGGAGGAGGAGGAGGGAGGAGGAGGAGGAGGGAGGAGGAGGACCCGTGGCTGCCTGCCGCTCTGGCTCGAGGGGCTCTGGCCGCCCCACCTCGGGCCGCCGCCGCCCCGTCCTGGGCCTCCGACGTGGCGGCTTCCCTGCCCGGTCTCTGGCTGCGAGCGGAGCGCTGCTGCCTCCTTCCTTCCCCTCGTTCCCGCCTCCCTTCTTTCAGGGGGGGGGAAACACACAGACACAATGAATCGTCAATTCCCTGGAAAATCTGGGAAGCTACGGGAATTGTGTGGGGGGGGAAGACAGAAGCTCATGGCATATGGGAACATATAGGGGAATCCTGTTATTTGTGCGTATTTCTTTGTGTGTTTGCGGGCCCCGTCACTTTTTCCTGCCCCTTCCCTTGCCTCCTGCGCGCCTTTCACCTGCCTGCCCGCTGGGGAGGCCTTCTGCCTCGCCTCCTGGGGAGGCTGCCGACTGCGCAGCCCGTCGCCACTTCAGTGAGCTGCTGCGAGGTCCAGCGGAGCGACGTCCTGAGCAGATCCGGATGAGACATCCACTTCAACGGGTGGTGCAAGCTGCGCAACCGTGGCCACTTGCGTGAGCTTCTAGGAGGTCCAGCGGAGTGGTATCCTGCGCAAACAAGAAAGAGACTTCGCCCTCCCTGGGTGCTGCCAATTGCGCAAGCCGCAATTGTTCCGAGCTCCCTGGAGCTGAAGCATAATGACGCACGCACGTGCAATTCAGTGTACCTCCTTGGGCGCTTGCACCTGCGCAACTGCCGGCTCTTTCGTGAGCTCCTTGGAGGTCCAGCGGAGTGGGATCCGAATGAGACTTCGCCTCCTTGGGCGCTGGCAACCGCGCAACTTCTGCCACTTTCAGGAGCCCCTGGACTTCCCAGGGAGCGGTGTCTCAAGCCAGCTCCCCAAACGGAGTTGCCAGACGTTTCGGATCAATTGGGTACGTCTGGGCATTTACTCTTGTACTCCATGCAGGCCCCCCAGACTGATTGATCGAGTCAACGTTTTCACCTTGCACTTATCTGTTTGTCCCCGCATGACTCACGCTGTGAAAGCGATCTGGGCCGTAAAGTTGCTGCGGATGGGCGCGGGTGGAGCGGACAAGTCGTTTCCCCCCTTACCAAGCTCACCGACGTGTTTCCTCGCATCTGACGCTAATATTCAAATAGGAGCACCACCACCTACCCTTGCCTCCAACCAGTTAAAGTCACGCAGTTCCTTGTGAAGACGCTGAGGCGTGACATTCGACTGGACACCTCCCTCTTCAGTGTCGACTGCCAAGCCTGAAGATGAGCCTGACCTTCGCCACCGTGCTACTGCTGGGGGTCTTCCTCCACTGGCCGAACTCCCATTCAGCAACAGAGGGAGGACGACATACGAAATTGCACGATCGTTGGCATGCGAATCAGTTTTGGGCAGCTTCAACTCAGAAGCGGAAAACCCGTTTGAGGAGATGATCTGACTGTGAAAAGTTTCAGTGGCCCGATGGAGTTCACGATGAGAGTTACACATTCTCTTATATTTGCTCAGGGGAGCGCGGACGAAGATGTTCCAGGGAACGCGGACAAAGATGTTCCGACAAGAAACTTGCCTGGAGGAGTGCGGAAGGCGAGAGCTGGCAGGACACGATGCGGAGGATGCAGGCGCGCGAGTCGAACGCGTTGTCCACGGCAGCCTCCCCACACGTGTCGGAACAGGTGTTCTCTTTGAAGTGGAGGTTGGTTCGCCGCCTCTTGTGCGGAGGGATTGAGAAGTGGGCGCCTGCTCTTCGACATCTGCAGCCTGCCCACAAGCGAGCACGAGGCAGTCCACCGCTGCAATGGATAGTTTACCTCAAGCAGTTCTGCGCGCACGTAGCCAATATTCTCTGGTAGAGGCGCTGCAAACGCCAGGCAGGGAGGGGCAGCACACCCAGTTCTGCATGATGAAGGTGTGATGTTCGTCCCTTCTCCCCACCTGTTCGCCTCCCTCCCGCCCTTCCCCCCCCCTCTTCTGCATGTTCCGAATGCGCAATTCCATACCCTGTGCGTGTTCCACAGATTTGTTGTCTGGCTGGTAGACAGGTCGATTGCTCACCCATGCCATGCGCATGGCCGAGCAGCCGTGAGCCATGCTCGCGTGGCTCGCTCGCTTGCTGCTGGCCATCCCCCTGGGCCATGCTG